TAGCTTAGTCGGTAGAGCATCCGCTTAGTAAGCGGAAGGTCGCCGGTTCGATTCCGGCAGAAGGCTTTTTAGTTTCTCTTTTGTTTAATTTTGCATTTAATTTCTTTTTCACCTCTTTAGTAGTTCTTTATTATCAAATTTTCTTTTTCTTTGATTTGTTCTTTCAATTTGAAGGCCTATAAGCCAGCAATGAGCGCCAAAAGAGGAAGCAAATGCAGCAATAAAACTCAACTCGCCAGCTGCATGCTTCGCTTAACTACTAGACTGCTTGGACCAGTGGTCACTTTCGGGTGGACCACTGGTCACCGCTGACAGTGCACTCTGTGCTGAAGAGTATTACAACTAAGCTTTGGAAAGCCTTTTATTTCATTCAAATATTTATTTATTTTAATCCTTTTTTCCTTTATTTTTTAAAATAAATCCTTTTTGAGACACCAAGCAAGCCTGCTCTGCTGGACTGTCTGGAGCATTCCAGTTCAAGAGGACCAAATAGCAGATTAAATTCCATTTAATTTTGTAAATTAAAAAGACTTTAATTTGTAGAAATAAAATGGATTTAATCTGCAACAAAAAGAAACAAAAAAGAAGCAAAGAAAGACTCGTGCTGCACTTGGCAGTGCAGCAGCAAATTCAACTTCGCCTCCTTAGCTTAGTCGGTAGAGCATCCGCTTAGTAAGCGGAAGGTCGCCGGTTCGATTCCGGCAGAAGGCTTTTTCTTTCAAAATTTATTTATTTAATTTAATTAGTTTGATTTGTTTCATTTAATTTGCTTTTTTTGTGCTTTTTGTCTTCTCTTTTGTCGATGAGCTAAAGAAAACCAGAAACAAAACAAATAGAAAATAAATTTGCACATTTTTCTGTTGCTGCAGCAGCTAACTCGAAATTCGTGCATGCGAAATAGCAGCAGGCAAGCCCCGCAGCAACTGTCACCGCCCCTGCTGCTGCCGCTGCTGCTGCTGCTGCTGCTGCTGCTGCTGCTGCTGCTGTACTCCAGTGTTGGATTGCTGCTTCAGCTTTTGCTTCTGCTGCTGCTGCTCTGCGGGGCTACTCTAAGAGCTTTCCTGGGGCTTTGTGTGCATGCATGTTTTGCTGCCAGTGCTGCTGCTGCTGCAGAAATGCCATGAAGTAGAAACATGCATGCAATAAAAAAAATTCTTTTTAATAATCTTTTTGCTGCTGCTAACTGCAAAGGCCTAAGAGCCAAGGAGAGCTGCTGCTGCCTTTGCTGCTGCAGCTCAGCAGGTTTGGTGGCTCTGGGCTCTGCAGCACTTTCGCGGTCCCGTGGAAGGGCCATAACGCCTCCCCTAGCTCAGCAAGCGTTTTAGGGTTTAGGGTTTAGGGTTTAGAGTATAGGGTTTAGGGTTTAGGGTTTAGGGTTTAGGGTTTACGGGTCGTAGTTGAGGCATACAGGAGCACTGGAAAAGCATACTTTAGGGTTTAATTGGCTCTCAAGGGCTCCGCCAGATCTCCTCCATTGTAACAAATCAGTTAATTAATTAATTCAGTTAATAAATAAATCAAAGAAAGGATGAAAGAAATAATAAATTAATTCACTCTTCGCTCATCGATCCGTTCAACAGGAGCCAATGGTGCATGCGAGTTCACCAAAGCGGCAAAAAGGACTTTAAATGAAATAAATGGAAACAAATATCAAATTTAATTATCAAAAATACTAAAAATAATAATTTTTAAACCTAAAAGGAAAGTAAATCCTTTTCTTTGCTTATTCTGGAACTAAGCCTCCTGCCGGAATCGAACCGGCGACCTTCCGCTTACTAAGCGGATGCTCTACCGACTAAGCTAAGAAGGCTGCAGGTGTCTTTGAATATTATTTCGATTATTCAAATATTACTTTTCTTTTATTAATTTATTTCTAATTTAATTCTAATCCAATTTTAATTTATTTCTAATTCAATTAAATACAATGAGTTTGATTCGCTTGTATGATTGGCAGCAGCTGCATGCGGCCTTGCTGAAAAGGAATAAATTGTAGCTGGAAACAAATGTGGGAACACGGCTTTAAAAAGATATAAACAGTAAATCCTAAACCCTAAAACTCTAAACCCTAAACCCTAAACCCTAAACCCTAAAACCTAAAACAGCAGTTAATGAAAAGCTCTTCGGTTTAGTGCATGGCCATGAAGTACAACCGAGGTGGGCAAATAAAAGACACTAAACCCCAAACCCCAAACCCTAAACCCTAGGGCTAAACACATAGCGCAAAACGCCAGATCCTCAACATTAACTCTAAACCCTAAACCCTAAACCCTAAAGGAGTGCTTTAAACCCTTATCTCGAAATAGCCGAAAGCGACGAGGCTCAGCGCCAGCAGCTGAAGCCAGCAGCAAGTGTCTCATGCACATACAAATAAAATTTCATAAGTACTTTACATTTTATTCAACAACTTTAAATATTTCAAAATATTTCAATTATCATAGTCATATATTTATATTATGCTGTTAGTTAGTACGGGATTAGGACGCGAGAGGGTTGCGTGAAGCGATTCTTTGATAAGCCAGAGGCAAAAGTACTTATTTTTGAGTTAATTGGATGAAAAATAAATAAATAAATTCATTTAAAAACTCCAAAAGCCTTCTGCCGGAATCGAACCGGCGACCTTCCGCTTACTAAGCGGATGCTCTACCGACTAAGCTAAGGAGGCGGAGGTGACCCTTTCAAAAGTGCCATTTGTTTCAATTTTGAGTTGAAATCCATTTAATTAGAATTAAACTCCAACTAGAAGTGTTTCAAACAGTAAATATAATTTAATTTTTAAATGTTAAAGCTTCTTTTCGCTCTTCAATGCTCAAGGAGAAGTCCCGCATCCAGCGACTCTTACAGACCCCGGAAGAAAACAGCTGCAGCAGCAGCAACAGGTGCTGCTGCTGCTGCTGCTGCTGCTGCTGCTTCGTTTAATGGGTCATTATTATCGAACTAGACCTTTTAATTGAGGCTTTTCGCTGCTCATTAAAGTGTCTACTTGGCTCTCCAGGCGCACTGAGAGGGTCGGAAATGAATAAAATGAATAAAATGAATTAAAACTGAAAAAGAAATGTTAAGAATTAATTAAAAGCCTTCTGCCGGAATCGAACCGGCGACCTTCCGCTTACTAAGCGGATGCTCTACCGACTAAGCTAAGGAGGCGAGGGTCACTGCTGGGCTCTGTGCCCTTCCCGAAATTGCGAAAAGTTCTAAATCGAGCAAATATTGTGCAATAAAAATGTTTAAATTTAATTAAATACCATTATTGCTTTCTTTTTATGGCTTTTAGACCTTTTTAAATCATTATTTCGCCTATTTTAGAAGATTTACTCCCCATCTTGATTCTTTGCAGCAGGGTCACCGAACCCCAGTCGGCGGTGCCCACAGCCTCATACCTGCTGCCAGCTGGCCAATTTTTCACCTTTTAACTTTCTCTTTACTTTTATAAAGATATTTCTTTTGCAAATAGCAAGAAAATGCTCTAATTTAATAATAATTCATGTAATTGTCTAATTCAGCCAAAGAATGAAAGAAGAGCGTCGACTTTCGCCTCCTTAGCTTAGTCGGTAGAGCATCCGCTTAGTAAGCGGAAGGTCGCCGGTTCGATTCCGGCAGAAGGCTTTTAGACTCTAAATAAATTGCTTTTCATCAATTTGTTTGCTTTTTAATGGTCTATTGAGTGAAACTCCTCGAAATTGTTCCTTTTAAGGAAGTTTATTTGCGCTTTTTGCCGCATTTTGTTCCCAATTGAGCTTTGAATCGGCAAAGGTGACCACTGAAAATAATAATACACAAAAGCAGCTCGGCCGAGCCCATCTAAACAAAGGCTTTCGGCTTTCTCGGGATCGAGGGGTTAAGATTTGGGGTTTAGGGTTTGGGGTTTAGGGTTTAGCCTTTAGGGTTTAGGGTTTAGGGTTTGGAGGTTACTTGGTGTGCAAACGAGATCTACATTTAATTGTATCGACTGAGCATTTAATTTGTTCTTTTTCTCTCTTCTGTCTTTTTCTATCCTTTTGCTATTTGAATTCTCTCAAATGCAACAAAAGCCTTTAGAAGTTTCATTAGTTTCTTCAAATGGAAATCAAAAAGCGTAAATAGTTTGGAGTTCTTCAGAGCTCGCTGGTGATCTACTGAAACCTGATTGCTGAGAAGTGCAAATCTGGGGCTTTCTCCGGAGTTCTGAGTGAAAAAAAGGCGAATTAATATTTCATTGTTTGAATTATGATTTAAATTGGAATTTATTTGTTATTTAAAGCATTTAAATTTCGAATTTAATTCAATTTGAATTCTCCAAAGTGCAAAAGCGCAGCCACAGCCCACCAGCCATCCAGCCTCCTTAGCTTAGTCGGTAGAGCATCCGCTTCGTAAGCGGGAGGTCGCCGGTTCGATTCCGGCAGGTGGCTCTTCTTTTATGCAATAAAGTAATCATTTAAAATAAATAAAAGCAAATTAAATCCTTTTTTTAATTATTTGAATACTTTTATTTATTAAAAGTCTGCTCAGCTGCCTTATTTCCTACTTGCAGTTGCTCTCTGGCGCTGCCAGCTCCTAAACGCTAACTCTTGATTCTAAACCCTAAATCCTTAACCCTAAACCCTAAACCCTAAACCCTAAACCCTAGATGGGCTACCGCCAACCCTCAAAAGCTAAATCCTAAACCCTAGCGCCCCGCTTGTGGAGCTGTAAACCCCCAAAGTCTAAACCCTAAAGACACCGCAGCGCCGCTTCAAGTTTGAAAAGGCAAATAAAACAAAAATGACAAAATATGTTTTTTTAAAAAAAATATATTTTAAAAATAAATAAATTAATATTAAGAGTTTGCTCTACTTGAATAGAGCAAACACTATAAACATAAAACAAACCGAATAAGAAGTTCAGTCAAGCCAGTGAAAGACAATTTAGAACTTTAGCAGCAGCTGCCGCTGCAGCTAGTGCTGCTGCAGCAGCTGCTGCTGCACTCTCCGGATGCTGCTGCTGCTGCTGCTGCACTCGAGTACCGGGTGTGTCTCGTTCGTGCGTCATCATATTTTGCGTGAGCCCGCTGCTGCGAGTGCTGCAACTGCTGCTGCTACTGCTGCTGCTGCTGCTGCTGCTGCTGCTGCTGCAGCTAGCTAGCGCGTGACGCTGGCTGGCTAGCTGCAGCTAGCTGTCACGAGCTGCTTCCTCAAGCTAATAGCTGCAGCACTGATGCTCCCGGGAAGCAGCAAACCGTCAAGTTGCTGCAGCAGCGAACAAGTTCTGCTGCTGCTTCCAGAGACGTGCAAATATCAGGCATCTGCAGCAGCAGCAAACACCACAAAAGCAGCAAAAGCAGCAATTAATGGCATAGACAGCAGCAGCAGCAGCAATTAACGGCACCGTCAACAGCAGCAGCAGCAGTACGTGGCATAATCAGCAGCAGAAGCAGCAACGAACGGCACAATCAGCAGCAGCCGCAAACAGCAGCAGCGAGAATCATCGCAGCAGCAGCAGCAGCAGCAGCAGTGACGCCAAACATCAAATAAGTTGCACCGCCAGCAACACGCAGCACAGTTAGCAGCAGCAGCAAACAATGCCACAGAGGCAGCAGCAGCAGCAGCAAAACGACACAAGCTGCAGCAGCAGCAGCAGCAGCAGCAGCAAAGTGCCCCAGCATCAAAACAGAAGGGTGGACATACAGCCAGCATTAGTGGGATAGAGCTGTCAATTATTTGATTAAATTAATTAATTAGATTAAATTAAATTAACCTAAATCAAACTAATTAAATTAAATTAATTAAATTAATTAAATTAAATTAAATTAAATTAAATTAAATTAAATTAAATTATCTTCAGCTTTTACCCAGAGGGCAGTGAGCGCCTTGTGCTGCTTCCGGGCCAGCAGCAGCAGCAACTCATCTGCTGCTGCTTCTTCTGAGCAGCAGCTTTTTTGTCTTTTTTCTAAGCTGCTTCGCAGAGCCTTCAAGTCCTCCATAAACTCCCCTGTCCCGCTGCTGCTGCTGCTGCTGCAGTTGCTGCTGCTGCTGCTGCTGCTGCTGCTGCTGCTGTTGCTGCTGCTGCTGCTGCTGATAGCTGCACTGGGGGATCTTTCCAGGGCCATTCCGAAGCCGAAGACGGCCAGCTGCTGCTGCGGCAGCGCGTCGAGCAGCAGCAGCAGCGCCTCGAAGGCCGTGACAGGCTTCTCATCATGAGCTGCTGCTGCTGCTGCTGCTGCTGCTGCTGCTGCAGCGGGGGGCGGCGCTGCTGCAGCAGCAGCACACAGCTGGGCTAGCACCAGCGTGCGCAGCCGCGGAGTGCGGCCCCGCAGCTGCAGCAGCAGCAGCGGCTGCACTTCTGTTTCTATTATTAATTCTTCCAGGGTGTACAGACAGCTGAGGCCTCTGCAGCAACTCGAAAAAGAACTGCAGCAGCGCGCGGCGTCTGCTGCTGCCAGCACGCTCTGCGGTGTACCTACAGCTCAGCAGCAGCGCAGCAAACCATTATTGTTATTATTATTGCTATTATTATTATTATTAATTTTTTTAATAATAATATTATTATTATTACTGGTGTTGTTAATTGAACAGAAGAGTGTAGCTGCTGCTGCTTCTTTCACCATTCATCTTTCTGCACCGCAGCAGCAGCACACAGCAGCTGGCCTAATAAAGGAAGGCAGCAGCAGCAGCAGCAATGGGGGCAGCAGCAGCAGCAGCAGCAACAAGCGTAGCAGCAGAAGTGGCAGCAGTCTCGTGGGTAGCCAGAAAAAGCCGCAGCAGCAGCAGCAGCGCAGCAGCAGCAGCAGCGCAGCAGCAGCAGCTGCTGCTGCTGGATCAAAGGGAAGCAAACAAACGGATAAGCAGCAGCAAGCAGCAAATAAAAAGAATTAAAATTTTAAATTAAAATTAATTTATTTGCAAATCAAAAAATAAAAAAGCTTACAGTGTCTCACGAAGCCCCCGCCCATGCTGCGGTGTATCCGCAGGTGCCGCAGAAACGGCAGAGTCCACTTGGGGGCAGCAGCAGCAGCAGCAGCAGCAGCAGCAGCAGCTGCTGCTGCTGCTGCTGCTGCTGTTGCTGCTACTGCTGCTTCCTGGGGCTCGCCTTCGCTACTTCTGCTACGTCTACTACTACCATTGCTGCCGCTGCCGCTGCTGCTGCTGTTGCTGCTGCTGCTGCTGCTGCTGCTGGCCAGCGCGTGGGTGCGCGGATCAGCAGCAGCTGCGGCTAGGCGCAGCAGCAGCTGCTGCGCCTCTGCTGCTGCATCATCTGCAAGAACTAGAGACTCCGTTTTGAATAAAATGCGACTGAGGTGACCAGTGGTCTGTCCATTGAAAGAAGACAAGGGCCGGTGAGAAGCATCCACTGACTTCCAGCTGCAGCGCCGCAACACACCCTGCAGCAGCAGCAGCAGCAGGTATTTTCTTGCTGCAGCAGCAGCAGCAGCAGCAGCAGCAACGGAAGTACGGTAACCAACGCAAGTCTCACTGCACATAGCAGCCACAGCAGCAGCTACTGGGCGGATTACTGCGGCCTGGAAGCTGCTGCTGGCGCTGCTTCTGCCTTTCCTGCTGCTGCTGCTTCCCGCTGCTGCTGCTGCTGCTGCTGCTGCTGCTGCTGCTGCTGCTGCTGCTTACACGCAAGGGCGCCTTGCTGCGTCTCTCCAGGCCCTGCAGACCAGCTCCAGCTTCGTCTTTTCTGCAGGCTGAGTCCCCACTAAAGACAAAACAAAAGAAAGAAGATGTCCTTCAAGAATAAAAGATCCAGGGGGGCCCCCCGGGGCCCCCCTGCCCCCGGGGGGGCCCCCGGGGGCCCCCCTGGCTCCTGCGGCAGGGGGCCCCTGCGGTGGTGTGGGGGCTGCAGACGCTGCGCCGGTATGGGGAGCAGCAGCAGCAGCAGCAGCAGCAGCAACACCACCATCAACTGCAGCAGCAGCAGCAGTTGCTGCTGCTGCTGCTGCTGCTGTGTTCCGCTGCCCCAGCTCGCTGCTGCTGGTGGTCTTTGTGCTGCTCTGCTGAATCTCTTCTTTGTAAGTTCTTTCTGCAGGTGCTGCAGCACTTGTAGGCAGCAGCAAAGGAGGGCAGCAATCTGGGGGGGCCCCCCTGGGGCCCCCAAGATATTTTCGTGGCTGAGGGCCCCTCAAGAAAGGTACTTTAAAGCTGTCTGCTGCAGCAAAAGGGCCTGAAGCAGCAGCAGCAGCAGCTGCTGCTGCTGGCGAAGGCAGCAGCGTGCGGTGGTGATCGAGTTGCGGGCGCGCGGAAAGCAGCGGCCCGGAGGCGTCTTCCTTCATTTTCAAAACTGAAAACGAAATAAATAAATCAATTTAAATATCCTTTTTGAAATTAAGCAGCACAGCAGCAGCAGCAGCAGCAAATAGTTGAAAATTCCGCAGCCGACCCGCGCGCGGGAGGCGGTGTAACGACCAGGTGGATGCAGAAGCCGCAATTGAACGCAAAGGGGCACCAGCCAGTCCCTACATCTAAATTCTTTTTTAAAAACAAATTAAACTCCATTTAATTGAAAAGAAAAGCAAAACAAGCTCGAAACATCAACATTGAATCCGCCCGAGACAAAGTTGAATGGCTTGAACGGGCAAACGGCACTCCAGGCTCACCCGCCCGGACGCGACCGCTGCAGGCATTTCCTTCGCCCGCCTCTCTTCAATTTGAACTTTTAAATTAAATAATTTAATTCAAAATAACAATTCAAAATTTTAAAGCTTTTTCCAGCGCAAGTCTCGTTGCTAGACCGGCGCTTTCGCGCCGCAGCACCCGCCCTTGCAGGTTCGCCGTGACAGCCCTTGACTTCCCCGGCTTGAATGACCTGGTTTTGAAGCCAGCGAGCCACATATAAACTCTTTTATTAATTTTATTTCCTTTCCTTTTTCATTTATGGCATTTAAAGCCTTAATGGCGGCAGTTTGCAGCAAAGACTTCTCGCCGACGCGCAGAGGCCGTGGGGGACCACTGCCGACTGGCGGCGCACGGGCTCTCGACCGCGAACGCCACGCCTCTTTTCCCGCCTCCTTCTCTCTTTAAAATTAAATTTATTTTAATTAAATTCTATTTTATTAATTTAATTCGAAATGGGCTTTTAAAATCAGTCTTAGAGCCGCCAGAAGGGAGCAAACGAGCTGAGAGCAGCCGCTGCAGCACGCCAACAGCAGCCGCCGAAGGACAGTCCAGTCTTTGCTGCCATTTCTGACTTTAACAAAAAGAAGAAATAAAAAATATTAATTTAAATGAAGGCAATTAAAGCCTCTGCGTCTCCGAGCTGCTGCAGCGCATCAAGCAGCAGCTCGCTGCGCCATTTGCTGCAGCCGCTGCTGCTGCCTCGGACTTATCCCTCTGCTGCAGCCGCTGGTGGACCATTGGACCAATGGACCACTGAGCAGCAGCTCTTCTGAGCTAAGGCAGCAGCAGCGCAGCAAAATAAACAATCATAAGTTAGCTGCTGTCCATGCATTTGCCCGCAGCAAGAGAGCAGCTGCAGCGCCACTTCTTTTGCACTTTATTTCAACTTAAAATGCTTTTCTTTTAAACAAAAGGAGCTGCTGGCGTGCAGCAGCGCAGCAGCAGTGACCACTGGTCACCTGGAGAAGCAAAGACTGCTGGATCCTCCAAAGTATGCAGTTTTGTTGGAAAAGCAAATCAAATGGACCATTCTTTGCAACTAAGCCTTTTAATGGGGCTTTTGCTTCGCTTTTAAGGGCTTATTTGGCCCGCAAAGAGCCACAAATGGAGAAAAATAAATAAATAAAAATTAAATTAAAAAAGAAATCAAAAAACGAACTCCAAAAGCCTTCTGCCGGAATCGAACCGGCGACCTTCCGCTTACTAAGCGGATGCTCTACCGACTAAGCTAAGGAGGCGAAGTGACCCGCGACATGAATGAGAATAAACAAACAGGTAAATAAATAAATAAATAAATAAATAAATACATAAATAAATAAATAAATAAGTAAATAAATTAGTAACTAGATAAATAATTAAATAAATAAACAAATGAATAAATAAATAAAAATTGAAGGCAAAGAGCGTTGGGAGAGTTGAAATGGCTTGAGGCGGAAGCGCAAGAAACACCAGAAGTGAATTTCCGATGCACTTTTGAAGGTTTTGAATCGAAAGAAGTTCAATTTGAGGAGAAATTAATTAATTAATTAAATTAAATTTGAAAAATAATAATTATAAATGTATTTTCAGCTCATCTGTCGAAAAAGAAGAAAAAAAAGTTGAATTTTCATATTTTCTTGGTTCGCTGCTGAGGCCAGCGAGTGTCATTTCTTTTGTAGCTTTCTTTCGTTTAAAGTTATCAATTAATTCTTCATTTATTTTATTTTAAATAAATGAATAATTTAAATTCGGAGATTCTTTTTAATTCATCTTTTTATTTTCCCCCTTTCAAGCTCTCACTTGGCTGCTGCAGCGCATTTGCTATTCCGCAGCAAACTTAATAACCCCTCCCGTGCTGCAGTGCTGCAGCAGCAGCGGCTGCTGCTGCAGCAAAAGTTAAAGGAGTATTGCAATTCAATTAGAGCTTAAGAAAGCTTTTTTTCCTTTTGAACAGCAGCAGAGGAGCAGCAGCAAACAGCGCCCAGCTGCTGCCTTAACACTCATCTTGCGGCAGCAGCTGCTGCTCTTCCTGCTGCTGTTGCTGCTGTTGCTGCTGTTGCTGTTGCTGTTGTTGTTGTTTTGCTAATGCTGCTGCTGCTGCTGCTGTTGTTGTTGTTTTGTTGTTGCTGCTGCTGCTGCTGCTGCTGCTTTGAGAAGCTTCACTTGGCGCAGATGAAAAAAGCAAGAACTTGAACGAAGTCTTTTAGTGGCAGCGAGAAGCAAAAATAGAACTGTCTAAAGTTCTCACTTAATTGACTTTAATTCTTTTTTGTTTTGTTTGAACTGCTTCCCGCGTTGCTGCTGCAGCTTCTTTTTGCTTTTTTGTCGATTAAAAGTCATTTAAAAGTCAAATAATTCAAAAAAATAAAAAGAATTCCATTAAAAGCCTTCTGCCGGAATCGAACCGGCGACCTTCCGCTTACTAAGCGGATGCTCTACCGACTAAGCTAAGGAGGCGAAAGTGACCTTCTGAGAAGAGCCATTTGGCGCGATTTTGAGCTCGAACGCAATTTATTTTCCCTAAATTCAAACTAAATGCTTTATTTTAATTTAATTTGATTTAATTTAATTAATTAGCGCAAATTTGAAACATTTTGAGGCAGTTTGCAGGCAGTTCTGGCCACTGGGCTCTTCGCCGTGGCTCGGGCGTCTCGGCGGCGGTGTGCATGCTGGGTTTCGCTGCTGAAGCCTCCTGAGCGATCTGCGCAGTTTAATTCGTTGAATTTAATCAATTGAATAAATTAAACTCTTAAATTATATTAAAATTGAGAATTTAAATTTATTTCATTCCAATTTGTTCAGTTTCCCCCAAGTTTTTGCAAAAGTGCAGCTTGGGAGCTGCAGCGCAGCGGCGGAGGCCGCGCGAAAGGGATTTCTTTCGACCGAATTCAAGGAAACTAATCAGTTTAGAAGTAAAATTTTGAATTAATGAATTAAAATGAACAAAAATGGATTAAAATTAATTAAAATAAATTAAATTTGGGGGAAATAAACTCCATTTCAACTCGAGATCGCGTCAAATGGCTCTTCTCAAAAGGTCACTTTCGCCTCCTTAGCTTAGTCGGTAGAGCATCCGCTTAGTAAGCGGAAGGTCGCCGGTTCGATTCCGGCAGAAGGCTTTTAATGAATTCTTTTTATTTAAATTTAATTTAAATTTAATTTTTCTTTTTAATTTTAATTTCCCTTTTCTTTTTGTTTGTTTGAACTTCCTTTTCTTTTTCTTTTTATTCATTTTAATTTTGCTTTTGTTTTTATTTGACTCCAAAGAAGGCCCCAGACTTTCTTCATCTGGGGGCTTCTCTAGCAACCCCCTTATGCGGACTTTTAAGTCCACGATTTAGGGTTTGGACTCGCGGCCAAGGGTTTAGGGTTTAGGGTTTAGGATCTATGGTTTAGGGTTTAGGGCTTAAGGTTTAGGTGCAAGCAGCAAGGCAGGCTCGTAGCCCCCTTTTGCCTAGGGTTTAGGGTTTAGGGTTTAGGGTTTGGGCTGCAACGCCTCTTTGTTTATGAATTGGATATTTTAGACAGATTATTTCTGCTGCCTTTCGTTCGAAGCCAGCGGCTTGCTGCAGCAGCAGCTGCGGCAGTCAAACAACGGTAACAGCAGCAGCAGCAGCAGCGAGAACGGCAAAGCAGCAGCAGCAGCAGCGAGAAAGGCAAAACAGCAGCAGCAGCAGCGGCAGCGAGAAAAACAGCAACAGCAATAACAGCAGCTGCAACAGCAGAAGCAGCAACAACAAGAGCAACAGCAGCAGCAACAGCAGCAGCAACAGCAGCAGCAACAGCAGCAGCAGCAGCAGTCCCGCAAGAAGGAGCAGTGCAGGGCTCTTGCCACTCCATTCAGTTTTCCGCAGCCACAACATTGATTTTAACTATTTATTTGATTATTAAAACTAAATATTTATTTATTTTTATTTGTTTCTCATAAATTAAACATTAAGCTCTACATTTCCGAGTTTTAATGCTGCTGCTGGAGCTGCCGCGCATGCAGCCACAGCGCTGCCCGCCCAGTGGACCAGTGGTCCACGGCGAGAACCAGGACAGAAAGAAATAAGAGAAAATAAAACAAATTTATTTATTTTATTATTTTAAAAATAAATTTATTTACATTTATAAATAAAAGAAAAGAAATTAAAAAACAAACACACAAGTCCGCGGCTTCTCGCCACCCCGTCTGCAGCAGCCCCAGCCAGCCCCAGCAGCAGCAGCAGCAGCAGCAGCAGCAGCAAATGGCGCGTTTAAACGGCGTTTGAGCAGCAAATGGGTTTAAAAACGAGCAGATTTATAATTTAAACAGATTAGCAGTTTAAAAGAACTAAAAAGAAGACTTTTTGGCAAAAAAAGAATTTCTAAATTCCTTTTTCCCACAACTTCCGCCTCCTTAGCTTAGTCGGTAGAGCGTCCGCCTTGTAAGCTGAAGGTCGCTGGTTCGATTCCGGCAGGGGGCTTTTGCTGCTTTCCAAATTTCCTTTTGCTGCTCACTGGCTAGCTGGCGGCTAGCTGGTGGCTAGCTGGTGGCTAGCCGGTGGCTAGCTGGCGGCTAGCTGGTGGCTAGCTGGTGGCTAGCCGGTGGCTAGCTGGTGGCTAGCTAGTGGCTAGCTGGTGGCTAGCTGGTGGCTAGCTGGTGGCTAGCTGGTGGCTAGCTAGTGGCTAGCTGGTGGCTAGCTAGTGGCTAGCTGGTGGCTAGCTGGTGGCTAGCCGGTGGCTAGCTAGCAATTAGTCGGTGCCTAGCTAGCGACTAGCTGGTGGCTAGCTGGTGGCTAGCTGGTGGCTAGCTGTCAAGGGGCAGCGCAGCCCTGCCGGCTGGCAGCCTAGGGTTTAGGGTTTAGGGTTTAGGGTTTGGCCGGGAAGCACTTCGCTAACGAAAGCACTGCTAACTACGCAGCCAGCTAGCTAGCCAGGCAGCTGCACAGGCTGGCTAGCTAGCTAGCTAGCCAGCTAGCAGGGAGCAGCTAGCTAGCTAGCAGGGAGTCGCTAGCTAGCTAGCAGGGAGTAGCTAGCTAGTCTAGCTCGGGAGGGCAGCTAGCTAGCTACTTAGAGAACTGCCATCTACAGCTAAACAGCTAGCTAGATAGCTAGCTAGCTAGCCAGCTAGGTAGCTAGCTAAGCAGCTGCAGAAGACGCATCAGCGGTTAGCTAGGTTTGTAGCTACGCAGCTAGGTAGCTAGCTAGCTAGGTAGCTAGCTAGCTAGCTAGGTAGCTAGCTAGCTAGCTAGGTAGCTAGCTAGGTAGCTAGCTAGGTAGCTAGCTAGCTGGCTAGCTAGCCAATATAAAGTGCTAAGCAGCAGCAAAGAAAAAAGTGGCAAATGAATTGGCACTAAAGAATTCAGTTTTGAATTTCTTTTTTTTCTTTTTAGTTCCCTTCAGGCAAAGGCAAATGCCTCTGACGCAAATCAGGGTTTAGGGTTTAGGGTTTAGGGTTTAGGGTTTAGGGTTTAGGGTTTCTAAAGGCTTAATTGTATCCGTCGGGGTTTTGGGACTGCCAGCGCCAGGCGGACTCGCAGGCCTCCCTGCGGGCATTTTCAAAAAGGCGGATTTTGGAATAAAATGAAAATTAAATTAATTAAATTAATTGAATTGATTTAATTAATTTAAGTAAATTAATTAATTTAATTATATTAATTTAATTAATTAAATTTAATTAATTTAATTAATTTAATTAAATTAATTAAATCAATTTCATTTGATTCAAATTCATCAAATTATTTCCATTTAGTCCGAATTAATTCCATTTAATTCAAATTAATTCCGTTTAATTCCATTTAATTCAAATTAATTCGAATTAGTTCCATTTAATTCCCTTTAATTTCATTTAATTCCATTTGACTCCATTTAATTGCATTTAATTCCATTTAATTCCATTTAATTGAATTAAATTCCATTTAATTGAATTAAATTCCAATAAATTCAAACCAACTCCAACTAATTGCATTTAAGTCCATTTAATTGCATTTAATTCAAATTAATTCAAACCAATTCCAATTAATTCCATTTAATTGAATTAAATTCCATTTAATTGAATTAAATTCCATTTAATTGAATTAAATTCCATTTAGTTGAATTAAATTCCAATTAATTGAATTAAATTCCATTTAATTGAATTAAATTCCATTTAATTGAATTAAATTCCATTTAATTGAATTAAATTCCATTTAATTGAATTTAATTCAAATAAATTCAAATTAACTCAAACAAACTCCACTAACTCCAAACAAATGCAAATAAATTGAAATTAAATTCAAATAAACTCCACTAACTCCAAACAAATGCAAATAAATTAAATTAAATTCAAAACTTTATTTAAATTCTTTTTTTATTTTTTTATTTTTTTATTTTTTTATTTTAAAAAACTCACCGAAGACTTCGCTCGGCCCGCCAGCCCAACTCGCTTTGGGCCAGCGAAGGGTCGGCGACGACGGAGGCGAGGTCGCCGGGTCTTCTGAGTTTAAAACAAATTAAATAAATTAAAATAAATTAAATTAATTAATAAAATTAATTAAATTAAATTAAATTAATTAAATTAAATTAATTAAATTACATTAAATGGAATTAAATTAAATTAAATTTAGTTTAATTTAGTTAAAGTGGAATTGAATGCAATTGAATTGAATTAAATTCAGTTAAAATGAGTTAAATTGGAATCAAATTAAATTAAATTAATTAAATTAAATTAATTAAATTAAATTGAATTAAATTAAATGGAATTAAATTTAATTAAAGTGGAATTAAATTCAATTACAGTTAATTAAAGTGGAGTTGGATGCAGTTGAATTGAATTAAATTCAGTTAAATTGAGTTAAACTGGAACTAAAATCGATTAAATTTAACTAAATTTAATTAAATTGAATTTAACAAAATTATATTTAATTAAAGTGGAATTAAATTCAATTAAAGTGGAATTGAATGCAATTAAATTGAATTAAATTCAGTCAAATTGAGTTAAATTGGAATTAAATGGAATTAAATTGGATTTAAATTGAATTAAATTCAATTAAACTCAATTGAATTGGAATTAAATTAAATTAAATGGAATTAAATTGCAATTAAATTAAATTAAAATTAAATTGCAATTTAATTGCAATTTAATTTCAATTTAGTGGCAGTTAACAATTAGTTCATTTAAAACAGATGCTGCTGCAGTTTTGAATTTCTTTTATTTTTAATTCCATCCAAATCAGGGTTTAGGGTTTAGGGTTTGAAGCAAATAAGGGTTTAGGGTTTAGGGTTCGAAGCAAATAAGGGTTTAGGGTTTAGGGTTTGAAGCAAATAAGGGTTTAGGGTTTAGGGTTTGAAGCAAATAAGGGTTTAGGGTTTAGGGTTTGAAGCAAATAAGGGTTTAGGGTTCAGGGTTTAGGGTTTAGGGTTTAGCTAGGGCTTTTTGTGCAGCAGCTGTCTGTACACCTGAAACGCCACTTGAAACGCCTTTCCACAAAAGTGCGCAGAAAGGAGAAAATGAATTTAATTTAATTTAATTAATTTAATTTAATTTAATTTTATTTTATTTTTTTTAAATTTAATTTACTTTAATTTAATTCTTTTATTTAATTCATTGTAATTTAACTCCTCTTTTTAGTTTAATTCATTTCAATTTAATTCTTCTTTTTAATTTAATTCTTTTTAATTTAATTTAATTCTTTTTAATTTAATTTAATTTTTTTTAATTTAATTTAATTCTTTTTAATTTAATTTAATTCTTTTTAATTTAATTTCCAACTCTCACCGCCCCACAACTTTGTAGGGAATTTTTTTTCCCGAGGCTTCTTCGAAGAGGTTTTTGAGTTCCAAGACGGAATGGCCAACGCCTGGGAAGAAATTAATTTAATTTAATTTAATTTAATTTAATTTAATTTAATTTAATTTAATTTAATTAGTTAAATTTAAATGCAATTAATTGCCAAGAAGTCCCATTTATAAAGCTCTTTTCAAGCTGCATTTTGAACACCTTTGAGCCAAAGCGCCGCAACTGCTGCTGCTGCTGCTGCTGCTGCTGCTGCTGCTGCTGCTGCTGCTGCTGCTGCTGCTGCTGCGGGGCGCCTTTGCAATTTAGTATTTCTTTTCATTTTCCACTTCTAGAGGCATTTCTTTCACTGAATTTGATTATTTAATTGATTTAATTGAATTAATTGTTTATTTAATTATTTATTTCAATTATTTAATTCAATTTTTATCCACCTGTCCCCAAATTGTGAATCAACAAAAGACCCCCAGGGGCCTCCAGCAGCTTCCGCAGCGCCGCCAAATGCCCAGCAGCCAAATCGTCCACATGCAGGTAATCCCGCACGCCTGCGCGCAAACCCTAGCAGGGTTTAGGGTTTAGGGTTTAGGGTTTAGGGTTTGGGGCTAGGGTTTAGGTTTGGGGCTAGGGTTTAGGTTTGGGGTTTGGGGTTTGGGTTGGGGCTTTCGGCTAGGGTTGAGGGTCGAGGGTTTCGGGGCGGGGTTTCGGCGGAGGGTTTAGGGTTTAGGGTTTAGGGTTTAGGGTTTAGGGTTTAGCTGCCTGTGCCGTCGGGGGTGTCCCAGTCGCAGCCGAAGACCTGCAGCAGCTGCTGCTTCCCAGCAGCAACTTGCTGCAGCACTGGCAGCAAATTATTTGGCTGCTGCGGGGCCTCCCCCAGCAGCCCGCTGGGGTGGGCCCCCACGGGGTTGAAGTACCTCAAGATCGAGACTCGCCAGCTAGGGTTTGCGGCTTGCACGTCCTGCGGCCAAACCCCAAAAAAGGGTTTAGGGTTTAGGGTTTAGGGTTTAGGGTTTGGGGTTTGCGGGGGGGGGTGCGCGTTCGCGCTGGGGACCCGCAGCAGCAAGCTGGCCGCCAGTGGTCCACTGGTCACCCAGTGGTCCACTGGTCTAAAAACTAAAATAAAATAAAATAAAATAAAATAAAATAAAATAAAATAAAATAAAATAAAACAAAAGAATAAAAACTTGCTTTCAGGATTTGTTCTATCATGGCTTTGGTGTGGCCGTAGGGATTCGAAGGGCCCAAAAGGTCTTTTTCGTTTATTTTGGACTTCGGCTTTGGCGCGTAAACTGTGGCTGAAGAAGAGAACACCAGAGTCTTCACGCCGCTGGCCTCCATCGCAGCAGCAGCAGCAGCAGCAGCAGCAGCAGCAGCAGCAGCAGCAGCAGCAGCAGCAGCAGCAGCAGCAGCAGAATCAGCAGCAGCAGCAGCAGCAGCAGCAGCAGCAGCAGCAGCAGCAGCAGCAGCAGCAGCAGCAGCAGCAGCAGGAAGATCAGGCAGCAAACCCTGCTGCTGCTGCTGCTGCTGGAGGGGATTCCGCTTCTCGCGGCGCTCTCTGCCCAGAAGCAGCGCAAGAAAGCTCCGGGGCGCAACACGACCCAGCTTTCTCCTGCTGCTGCTGCTGCTGCTGCTGCTGCTGCTGCTGCTGCTGCTGCTGCTGGGATTGGCAGCGATGCCCACCTGCAGCAGATTGCAGGTGCCGCCGACGTTGTTCTCGTAGTACATCAAAGGCATCTGCACGGACTCCCCGACAGACTTGAGACCTGCAGCAGCAGCAGCAGCAGCAGCAGCAGCAGCAGCAGCAGCAGCAGCAGCAGCTGGAAAGAAAGGCCGGCTGCTGGGAAGCGAAGTGTGTGGGGCCACCTTACCTGCGTAGTGAATCACGGCGTCGATTTTCTCTTCTTGGAAAAGCTGCATCACTTTGTCTTTGTCCCTCAAGTCCAGCTGCAGCACAGCAGCAGCAGCAGCAGCAGCAGCAGCAGCAGCAGCAGCAGCAGCAGCAGCAGTTCCACCACCACCGCCAGCAGCAGCAGCACGAAGCCCAAAACAGCCCCAACCCACCCCCACGACCACTCCCACCCCCC